ACATACATACATACATACATGCATAGCATTTCTGAATTTCACGGCGTTGAGTCCCAGCGGGGACGCAGTCGTTACATACATATGTATGTGTGTGTGTATGTATATATACATATATATGTATATATTGATGTACACGCACAGATAGATAGACAGTCAAATAGATGGATATATGTATATATATATATATGTATGTATTTATGTACGTACGTACGTACGTACGTACGTACGTACGTGCGTACGTACGTATGTATGTATGTATGTATGTATGTATGTACGCATGTATGTATGTATGTATGTATGTATGTATGTATGTATGTATGTATGTATGTATGTATGTATAATATCATGGTCCTTATCCTAAGGACCCCTTCGCAAGTTTTTCCCGAAGTGTCGGACACATGTAGGTGAAACCCGATAGATTCGCTGTAGCACATTATAATCGCTATCTAAAAAGACCGAAACCACCAGAGAGGGCTTGCACAGCCTCCATAGAAGTGCTGTGACATCCTTACAAAGAAGGCCCGTGGGTCGGTGGCTTGCTCGGCTTTGACTGCAGCGGCAGCATTTGCGGCGCAAGCGACCACCAAAACGCGGGCCCTGCCGAAGTCCTCGAAGAAGTTTCGGCCTCAGGCTTGAAGGAGAAGCTGTGCTTTTCAGGGGATGCCCGGGTCGAGGGATCCGGGAAGCCGAAAGAGGGTTGTCGATACTCCCTGAGCGCGAATTCCATAAGTAGTGAAGCTCAGCGAAAGCTCCGGAGAGATTTCCGAACGAGGAGTCGACCGATCGATCATGGTACCTTTGTCAAGCGGTCTTCATGCTTTTTTGCTTGACCCAATTTCCCATGTCGCTCGGTTTCTCGGGGACTGTGAGTAATCACAATCACTTGGCTGTGCCACATGCTAGCAGAACTTGAACAGAATGCAGCGGATGGCACCTGAACCAGCACTCAGCATGTCATGTCACAAAGGTCCGGTTGGTCGATCTCCTTGATCGTGTGATTTTACATGACATGAAAGCAAACAAACAGATGACTGCGCCTTGCCCTCCCTAGAGTCGGTCGAAGTATCGTTCGGGGCAAAACGGCAAGCCTTGGTACATGTTCTCTATGAAGCCACAACATGTATCCTCAGTCAGTTGATACATGCATGTGCGACGGTGGTTCACAGCTTCGTGCAAGCCAAGACAACCCCAGTTGATGAACATAGCTCGTGTTGCTTAGGCTTGGCACTCATGATGGCAGCTTCCAAGCTGACGTTCCTGGGCAGCAGGGGCGAACTTACAAAGAATCGCCTCCGTCTCTCTCTGGAGAAGTGGATGGAGTAGGATATTGAAGTAAACACTACAGGACCTCACCGACCGATGCAAGCATTCTTGAAGATGTGGCAGATGCACAGTAGACAAGTCTCAGCCATAACCTTCTTGGTAGCCCAGGCCTTCCTACCAATTCTCTCAATGCTTTGAGCCCTGCAATGCGGGCTCGTCCTTGCTAAGTAGGAGGGACAAAGGATTCTTGAAGATGTCTGCACGTGTCTACAGCTATACAGGCTTTCCGATGCGTGTTGTGTGTACATAGACACGGATGTATACATAGTGACTTTGTGCAGAAATAAAAGTACTCTCCTGTTTCTATCCCATTGCCGGCCGAGGAGGCGCTAGCGTGCTGGATGCTACAGCAGCTGCCGGAGTTCGCAGGATGCGATGTGACGCGAAGTAGACAGCCGAGGCCCTGGGTTTCGGGCAAAAGCGCGGTGGACTAAAAGTTTCCTGGATAGGATCGACTCTACGGTTGAGTGGTGACCCTGAGCCGAAGTCAGGATCCTGTCCGAGATGGACATCATCGTGGATGCTACTTGCCGCCAAAACACGGACGGTCGTGCGTGGCCGTGCGCCGCGCGCTATTCGATTAGCTTCCCGTACATGAAGCAGCCTGGATCCTACTCCATCTATTCGCTCTTGCTCTTCAGGTCGGTGATGTCTACGATCCTGGCCAGCTGCGCTTCGACCATCACCAGCGAGGATTCTTCGAAACTGCAGATGGCATCCCTGGCGCAGCCAAAGGACCGGACGAGGCCAGCACACAGAGATAGTGCAACACATGTTGCACGCAATACCACACTTATTTGTGCCAGCTTTTGGTATGTTGCATGGACCGAATGACCAAATATTGTCAGCGAAATATGGAGCAAGTCCGGCGCAAGTCGTTGTAATTAATCAGGAAGTATCCGCCCGATGCTGCAGCATCACAGTGTGATTTTGCTTCATGCCCTGGCGTGGTGCAGGCCACTGGCCGTTGGAAGACTAGACTATCGTCCAGTGGAGCCTTGGCATTTCTCCTTGAGCTATATGTCCTGAAGACCCCACCAAAGGGTCCAAAATCTGCAAGCAGCAAGCCGTAAGCCCAAATCTTTTCGAAGACTTTGGCAAGGCCTGGTGTACAAACACTTTGGGCGGGATCTGATCCGGCAGCTGGCAGCGACAGATGCCGAGAGCACCGAGCTTGTTTGGGCAGAGGCGCCCTCCTTGTGAGTAGATGCTGCCGAATCAGGGACTCCCCAGGGCGCAATAAACACTTTCAATGAAGTCATCATTCGGGTGGTTGTCAAAATTAGGGTCCCTTTTTGGGTCCTTATTATAATACGGCACCTATTATTTAGGGTACCCCAAAAGGGACCATAATTTTGACAACTACCCATTCAAGCAAGCTTGCCTTGACAGGTCTATGATAGGTTCGTCGAGTGCATCGATGCCATTGACAACGGGGCCGCTCATCATAGCTATCTATGAGAGCTGGGTCGGCGCGATTCGGCAGACCTTGCTTAGCCCCTGCTATGCTTAAAACGTGTTCGTGGGAAACCCATCAATTGCAGGGGAAATGGGCTTGCGAAGATGAGCGGAAGAAATGGAAACTCGGGGTTGTGGCCGGTGTTGGAAGTAGCAAGAGGTGGTGTTGGTGCTTTGCATGTCGCTCGAATCTGTTTATCAAGCCAGGACCTTTGTGGAAGGTAGCAGGGCAAGATGAATAATGTCATTATTATGTAGCATGCGTACCAGTGTAACTGTGTGACTATTTGGGAAATGAGGGACTCGCGTGTGCTTGAGACATCCCGTTTTTTGCTTTCGTCATATACGATCATGGATGGACCTCCTTCGACGATCTCGCTGCTGACAGCGATGTTGAGTTTTGTCGAAATGCGTTGTGGGATGTTGTGGGTGTGTTGTCGTAGTTGCTTTCAGCAACACGCCAGTGCTGAGCAGCAGTGCACGTCCTAGTAGAGGTAGCAGTATTGTCGTGGTGGTGCGGGTGGACGGGAGACACGATAGTCACAACTGTTGTGCTGATCAAGGTTGAGATGTGCGCTGAGGGCATCCCTCGCTTCAAGGAATGGAGATGATGCAGTTGACTGATGCACCAGTACTGTCCTCCATACATTCTGTCCAGTGGACATGGGGCCTCTTTGGATTCAGTGCAATGGTTCAACACGCACGCAATGGGTCATGCCGGGTCGTACACATCCCGAACAGTGTACCTGATCTCGGCATCGTCTCGCTTTTGGAGCAGGACTGCACAGGCCTTTCTGCACGTGTCGCCCGGCTGAATCCTCGCTGGAATGAGGCGTGGAAGAGTGTTTTGGGGCTCGATCTACGGAATGACTTTGCTTCATGCGCTCGTCGGTTTTCGGTGAGGGTTCATCGCTGTGGTTCTGCTGGTCATGACGCTGTTGCAGCAGGCCTGCGATGACGAAATTTTGCAGCATCGCTTCGAGGCTGCGTGTGGGCCTTTTCTGCACTGCCGGATGCAATGCATACTCAAACGTCAGAACTGAGCATTTGTCACCTGCCGCATCTAGGTCAGCTATGTGTGGTTCAGAGTTCCTGGAGGACACCTGCCGGCACATAGAACACGCACGACCCGTTCGATCCGATCGACCTCGATCTTTTTCGATCCGATTTACAGCGATCTACGACTTTTGTGGACTCCCTGCCCCCCTCCGGCCATCTCCCGCCTGCCACCACACCACCTCCTTCCCCCTCCGTCTCCTTCCCACCTACCCCCACCTGGGGGATGGGCTGCTTGTCGTGCCGAGGTCCTCAGCGACGTCGTGGAGTCCTGGCTTCCGGCACGCGCCTGCGTGGCCGCGGCGATGGCAGCACGTGAGGAAGTTCACAGCTCCGGACAGGCGCATCTTCAGCCGAAAGCTGTAGCACTCGGATGTGAACAGAGTTTCGGTCTGACATCGGGCGAGGTCCTTAGACTCGACTCCGGAAAGATTCCGTGGAGGAGCGAGCAGCATCTTGTGCATCGATGCCGTGTCTCGTGGCCGTGCCTGTCTGCGGGAGGTCCTTACGAACTGCGGTCGTCAAGTCACATCCTAGCATGAGCTAATGAGCTCATGCAGTTTATCGATATGAAATTACTGCTTTGGCGATCCGATGGCAAAACTGTCCAAGCTCGATGTGTGCGACATCCGAGGCCATGCAGGCAGCAGGTCGGCATCATGATGTCCTTGTACTTTAGCACCGCAATCCCGAATTCGGCATGCCTGAATTGTTTGGTTCAGTCTTGCGGCTCGGCCAGTAGGCTACCTATTAGCAGCAATAAGTCGTACTCGTAGTATCCATGCAAAAAAAAAAGTATCCATGCAAACCCACAATGGCTTGAAACCCCCTCTCGGTGCAGGAGTCACATCTTTGACCTGGAGCGTGAACTTGACCTTGAGGGTCACATCAAATTCATCGTCGACTTCTCAGCCCTCGATTGCTTGTTGAAGTTGATTCGCTGTCGATATGACTCATATCACCATCCCCGTCTCTGCATGTCTCGTGTATCGATGTTGATGCTAGCTTTATTTTAATTTCTATGAAATTTCTAAATCTACACATTCCTTCCTGAAGACGAAGTTCAGGGAAACAAGTTCCTACTACTAAGTCTGCATTACGACTCCTGGTACTAGCGTAGCCTTGCGACGAAAACTATGACGGAGCTTTTAACATGCGCCTTTCTGATATCTTCTCCTTGTGAATTACATACACGGCTGACGATCGTGACAAGGAGGACACAACAACACTGAGGAAGAACTGGTTGGGGATAATGATTATGACGACATTGATGGTGATGCTTGATGGTGGCATTCGTGATGATATAGGTTTATATAAATCACACTAGGATTTTGCGTTCGTTGGGGTCAACGGGTTTGCGAGATGTAACTGTAATGCTGAAGGATATTCTGCGGAGAGCTGATGAGTTGGATGTCTGTTTCTTCCGGACAGTGTTTTCAGAGTTTTTTTAGTTGTGCTGTGACACCGTGTCCGTGCCTTTGCGCACACCGAGCCATTGAAGCTTGTCATGAAGGGCACGTCGGGGGTGAGCAGCAGAGACTTGTTGTTGCTTCGCATTCTGTTCGCTATGGGCTACGGGCCTTGTTGCCAGCCTTATTCTTGCTACTATTCCTTTTGTCGCCATGGTTCAATGATGGCGGTGATCATGGTCATTGCTCTTGCAAGTTGCAAGTGTCGGTTGTTGTTTCGGCCGATGCTGCTGTTGCTGTTGCTGTAGCTCTTCTTCTGCTTCTTCCTCTCCTTCTTGGTTTTTTCTGTGTCTTACCAGGTGTGCTGTCGACGTCGCAGATCGGTGCTTCATTCCACGTGTGCAAACCCACATGAATAACGAGGTTTCGAGTTCAGGCTGACCTCTAGTCTACAGTGAGTTTGTGGCACGTTGTGGGACGCTTGTGGAGTGTACGCCGAGAAACACCGATGACATCGCCATTTTCGGTTAGGGTTGGGTGACCGGCATGATGAGGTCATCTGCAACGGCAGGGCTTGCCGAATGAAAAGACCCTGTTTGTTGCCTACGTAGCTTTTGCTTGTCGGTTCTTGGTTATTGCTTATTGGCATTGGATGTTTCTTGGTTGCTGCTTCTTGCTTCCTGCTTGCTGGTTGTGGCCGAGTATGTATCCGTTTTTGTTTGGCTTGCAACTCTTCCAACAAAAGTGTGTCGGACTCAGAAGGGATCTCGTGCACGCGACGGTCTAATTTCCAAAACAAAAGTCCTTCCCTTGCGGAACATCCTAGCCTAGGCCTTGTCGCTGCTGCAGATACTAGTATTGAACTTCGGGGTAAAAGCCGGTCTAGAGGAAAAAGTGCAAAGCGTCTTAAGACTTTGCCAAGGTCTACCCAGAAGAGCCGTGGCTGGCAAAATCATGGATTCTTTGTGACAGGGAGGATTTGCAACGCGCGCTGTTCAAGTCGTCTTTCAGTGATACCAAGTCCTTTCGTTTCAAGCACATGCAATCGTCATGCCTGCTGGCATCCACCAAGTCCATTGCGTCAAAAAGGGATAACTTGTTGTTTAGAGGACCAATATTTTAGGCCGAGCCGGATATAGGCAGTCAAGTTGACAAGTTTATAAGCACGGAGCCCAACACACGCAGAGTCCAAAGCAACTGGAGCTCAGGAGGACCTCTTCCGGGTACGGGCAGTTCCCATCGAAGGTCGTTTCTTTACGAATCGCCTCTCTCTGCCAGAGCTGCTCGAATGCACCATGCCCAAGCTCAGCCGCTCCAATCTGTCCCTTTGTTGCTTGCCCTGTGCTCTCCCACAGGTGTCCGCAACAGGGGTGATTCTGGGAAAGTCCTAACAGAACTGTCGCAAAAGCCCCTTGTCGCCGAACGGCATCTCGATTTTGGCCCAGGTCTTGGCGAGGCCTGCGGGACGATGCCTTGGTGCAAGCCAGTGGAATCGAAGGAGACTCAGATGAGCTTTGCAGATACGCAATTGTATGTTGGTCTGTCACGGTTTTGTGTACACATTTCTTGCTTACAGCAACTACTTGTCTTTGGATAGCTAGATCAGCTGGATGTAATTTGTCTTTGGATAGCTAGATGTAAAAGTAGTAGCTACCTCCATAATGTACTGTACTCCCACATATGTAGTCACAGCAACAAGTTGTTTCTCCACGGAAACGCAGCAGAGGAGTGAGCAACCGGATGAGTGACTTGTAGGTCAAGCATGATTTTAAAAAATGTGAAGTATACTGTGTGGGAAAAGTGAATATACTATAATTCAAAATGCAACAATACAGTATCATGTAATATAGCATAAACGAACACAATGCACTATAATGTAAAAAAAGATGTAATAGCATACGACAATATAATATAACATAATATGGAATATGGTAACTAATATATTAATATACAACATATGAGATAAAGTATGATATACTTTACCTATGCACATAATACCATATGTGATATATATTATAATATTATACAATAGAACTTAACACAATATAACATAATATAAGATGAGAAGATAGTAGAAACTAACATAAAGTTCATAATATCTTATAGGTAACTATGACATAACAGTATACTTAATGATACTAACCTATAATATTATTTTCTACGGCACCTAAAACATAATGTACTAATATATATATATATATATGTGTGTGTATACATAATATATTCATATTATAATACAACATATTAACAACATGTATATCATTTCGTTTTCGATATAATATAGTCTATATAGTATGAATTACCAAATAGAAGATAACTAAGCTAAACATATGATATAACATACTTGACACAATATTTAGTATACGGTATAATAACCAATACAATAAACACGTAAACAAATAAATATTCAGTATTTAATATATATATATATATAGCACAATATCTAGTACATGATATACAACATACATTAGTAATATAGTATATACTTTAACACTGCAGAAAGCCTAGCAGTGTGCAGGATCCTGTTTCGCCCATGTCAACGGCTGCTTTGCTTTGCAGCTATGGCCTTCTGTGGCACGAGAGGTGCTGAGGGTGCGTGTGGAATGAGGTGTAGGGAAACGGGTTTAGGGTGTTGCGTGCCTGTGCCGGGATAATCAGTGAAGTGGCGAAGGCCACATCTATACACATTCAGTGCCATGAGTGTTGGTTGAGGATCAGTGCCCAGAAAATCGGAAGAAGAAAGATCAGCCTCACTTCGCTGCCCAAGGCTTCATCGGAGGGAACTACACTCTTGAGGGAGCTCTTGCCATGGCAGATGCTAGCTTGCGATCGAGCTTGGAGTAAAAGAGCAGATCTGTGGCCAAGTTCATGCTTCCTTGATAAGGGGGTTAAAACGGGCATTCAAAAGCAGCGCATTTTGATTGAGAATAACGCCAGCTCATGTGTCTCCTCATGCAGCAATTCTGGGTCAAGGCCTCTCCCCCCCTTTGTCCGAGCTTCTGTGTGCCACGCTGATCCTAGATCTGCCATGGCTTTGCACCTTGGATATAAACATATATAAACTGTAACTCTTTCAAAGATGCCTTATGACAAACCACAGAAGCAAGTTTGCTTGCTTCGAAGAGGCAACACCCAACCGTACCTCGCACACGAGCTTGAAACTCACCACCAGAGGTCGCCTCGCGTTCCATGTGGCGAGAGGTCGCTTTAGAACCTGCAAGACTGCGCCTTTGAGCCCCTAAACCCTAAACCCCTCTGTAAGGGCTTCGTCCTAGCTAGGTGGGAGGCAAGAAAACCCCTCTGTAAGGTTTGATCGCGAGGCTTTGTTAATGTCCGAGATCGGTGATACGATCCGGTCGATGAGCCAATGTGCTTTTGCCACGTACTAGGAGCCTCGCCCAGGATTGTCCGAGTGTGAGTGCTGAAACCCTCAACCCTAAACCCTGAACCCTAAACCCTAAACCCATAGAGAAAGTCACGCAGAGCAGAGGCCTCGCCAAGTTCGCCAAGCTCTAGGCGTCTAGAACCCCGAAGCCGACAATCACAGTTCTGAAGCTCTAAAGCCACAGCCAGACGGAAAAGGGTCCAAGCCTGAAGCGGTTGGGAAAAAAGCCTGAAGCCCTAAGCCATATATATATATATATACATATATATATATATATATGGTCAGGCCCCCCCCCATGATCTACCTCCGTCTTTCTTGGGTATGTAGAACACATAGAAACCACCGTAAATACCGATGAC